TTCATATTTGTTTCTTTTTAGTCATAGGAAACCAAACACAACCCATACATATATACTGGACGCGAAAAGAAACGCGCACCATAGAAAAATAGTGAGAAGTATGTACGTTAATTATAAGAAGAGATGTTTCCAATGTGTTCCAATTAATGATAATACTAATAATCAGTCAAGTGTTACCACAGTGACTTTATTCTTATCACGATATGCTGCACGTGATTTCCAAACTTTACACGCTAATCCTGCACGAGACAAATGGTGCATCTCGAGTCATGGATCTATGACGTCCCACGTGATGCGTTCATGAGCGTCGGGAAACACAACGTACCAGTATGTTCTTGCTTCAAACCAATCTAACCTCTCTTGAACATGAGTAAATCTTCAAGTATTAACTAACATGTATGGTATTTGCGTTTCTTTTGTCGGTGAGTATATAAGAAGTCAGCAAGAAGCTCTATGTTCATTAATATTCGTCTGGAACGAGTCAAAGAGTAGATGCTTGTCCTACATGCTGTTATCTGCACCCTGAAAGTGAACAACGATAATGATTTAGTGCACACGTGATTATCACTCTGTGTGAGTGAGTATGGTTTTACGCCGCTTAAGCAATATTCCGGCAATATCTGGAACACAAGAAATGGGCTTCACAGATAATACCCATTTGTGGTATCGAACCCGGGTCTTCGGCGTGACGAGCGAACGCTTTAACCTCTAGGCTACCCTAGCCCCGATTAACCATGGAGGCGACAGTTGTCTTGTTTGGACACATATGAATCCGCGGTAGAATAGGTCTTCAGCAACCCAAGCTCTCCGCGAAAGGCGACTATGCTTGTCGTAAGAGGCGACTAACGGGATCGGGTGGTCAGGCTCGCTGACTTGGTTGATGCATGTCATCGATCCCAATTGCGTAGATCGATGTTCATGATGTCAATCACTGGATTGTCGGATCGATTATTTACAGACCGCCGTCATAAAGATGGAATATTGCTGAGTGCGGCGTTAAACAACAAACAACAACAACGACACATGTCCAAAGTGAATGATGATGTTTCCACATCTTTGAAAGGTGTTGTGGGCATACCACTGCGTATCAGGTTATACAGGGAGGAAATAATAATATCTTTATAACTACTTTCATGACAATAAATTGTTATATAAATACCAGTCGGGCTTTCAAAAAGGCCATTCCACTGTCCATCAATTAATTGAATTGTATAATCAAATTTGTATATCTTTAGATAATAGAGTAAAATATTGCATGTTTTTTGCGATGTATCAAAAGCATTTGATCGTGTCTGGCATAGAGGGCTTATGTACAAATTAGAAATGTATGGTATAAAAGGGAATTTACTTGAATGGCTGTCCAGTTACATAAGCAATCGTACTCAATCAGCGTTTGTAAGCGGGGCTCTATCCAAGCCAAGGATTTTGAAGGCTGGCGTTCCACAGGGGTCGGTGTTAGGTCCCTTTTTATTCATTGTGTTTGTTAACGACATTGCTGATGAATTAGATTGCATAACAAGACTCTTTGCTGACGATACAGCACTCGGCTTTTCTTCACCAGACAATCAACTTGTTGAATCAACTCTAAATTTAAATCGGAGCAAGGTGTGTAACTGGGCAAAACGCTGGTTAATTAAATACAACCCAGATAAAACAGAAGCGGTTATATTTTCCTTAAAAGATGAATCAGACCTCATTACCTTGTACTTTGATGAATGTAAAGTTAGGAATGTTCAAAATCATAAACATTTGGGTATAACGTTTGCATCAAACGGAAAATGGTCCTGTCACGTAGATAACATAATTAAGTCAACATCAAAAATGATAAATTCAATGAGAAAATTAAAATTCATATTGAACAGAAATACATTAAATAAAGTATATACAATCTTCATAAGACCCCATTTCCAATATGCGTGTGAAGTGTGGGATAGGTGTAATATAGAATTATCAACTCAGTTAGAAAATCTCCAACTAGAAGCTGCCAGAGTAGTTACTGGGCTCCCAAAGTATACTTCGCACACACATCTGTATTATGAAACAGGATGGGAAACGTTAATAAAACGAAGAAGGAAACGCAAGCTATGTTTGTTCTACAAAATACAAAGTAATATTGCCCCAACTTACCTTAAAGACATTGAACCAACCACTGTAGGTTCAAATATATCATATAATTTAAGAAATTCAGACAATATTGAGATTCCATATACTAGATTAAAACACTCAACGTGTTCTTTTATTCCATCAACTGTAAGGTTATGGAACACTATTCCTGCAGCAGGTAGAAGTTGTACATCTAGATCCCAATTCAAGACATACATAAAAAAAGAGCAAGTCATTGCACCTCCATAATTTTCCTATGGTGTTAGAAAGTTGAATATTTATCATACTCGATTAAGATACATGAAAAGCCAGTTAAATTATGATTTATACAGAATAGAGGTAAAATGTGATCCAACATGTCAATGTGGTGATCCATGTGAAAACGCATATCATTATTTATTAAAGTGTCCATCGTACGTCCACCAAAGAAAAACTATGTTAATAATAATTCGGGACATTTTACAGAACGCCGTGAACAAAAATGCTAAATTAGATTTAAATTTGATGTTAAACGGAAATGAATGTTTGTCCATTATCGAAAATCAACACATCTTTAAAGCAGTGCAAATGTTTATAAGTCATACAAAGAGATTTGGGTAACACTTTAATGTACATATACTAGTCTCTCTCTTTTGTACATTTTTTGTTATCTTTACACTCATCTTCTTTTCTGTTTTCCTTGTATATGATTTACTGTACAAGCTTTGTAAATACCATGGAGAGGGAGTCCTAAGTTGGATAACTTGTTCCCAATCCATTTCAATCTGAATAAAATATGTTTAAATCAAACAGGGAGGAAAGCAGAACCGATGTAGGTCGTTAACGCGACATCATCAAGCGCAAGGATGTTGGTTATAGATCAAGGTCGAATATAAGATTCGAACCACTGACAAATAGAACCTGCTACGCCTAGGAGGCGCACCATTGCACAGCGAATAAGGTGCCTTACATCAGATGAGTGATGAGGCGATGAGGCGACCTAATTGCTGTGCTGTGGTCACGCAATGATCCGCTGGGTATGGGTTCGAATCCCAGATGCGTTTAACTTTATCCAAGTATTCGTGGAGTATTGTTCATGCCGAATTGATTTCAAGGTTGTCGATGATTATCTGTGAATCACATCCTGAAACACTTTTGTCAGTTATATATTGCCTATGTACCCTGAATAGTTCGCGATATACTCCCGCAGTTGTATATCTAGTCCAACTCCACTCTCCGTGATTCTGAAGTGTGGCAAAGATTTATGACAAGACAGTACGCAAACAGTCGCAGTGATTTATATAAGTATAGTATACTTTCGGAGATCTACACGCACAAGAACCTACTTGCACTTCATCTGGAGTGTGTTTTCCATTTCTACACCCTGGTTGAGCTGGCACCACATTCACAATGAGATATTAGGTAAACAATTTTTTGAAAGTGTGTTAATATATACACTGATATTTTGTTTCAGTGGTCTAGTGGCCAAATCAGCTGCATGTCGACGTGCAGAGGTACATATGTTGTGTGACAGCAACAGACACCTGTAGATACATACTGTGAACACACAGATACATCTAGCAGACACACATGTTACAGACAAATACATTGCACACATGTTGCTGGCACACATGTAGCAGACACATATGTAGCAGACGCAGACACCAGCACGGAGACACGTATGTAGCAGACACAGACACCAAATCGGAGACACATATGTAGACGACACATGTAGCAGACAGACACCAGCATGGAGACACATATGTGGCAGACACAGACACCAGCACGGAGACACACATGTAGCAGGCACATGTAGTAGACACAAACACCAGCATGGAGACACATATGTAGCAGACACAGACACCAGCACGGAGACACGTATGTAGCAGACACAGACACCAGCACGGAGACACGTATGTAGCAGACACAGACACCAACACGGAGACACATATGTAGCAGGCACATGTAGCAGACAGACACCAGCATGGAGACACATATGTAGCAGACAGACACCAGCATGGAGACACATATGTGGCAGACACAGACACCAGCACGGAGACACACATGTAGCAGGCACATGTAGTAGACACAGACACCAGCACGGAGACACACATGTAGCCGACACAGACACCAGCACGGAGACACACATGTAGCAGGCACATGTAGTAGATACAGACACCAGCACGGAGACACACATGTAGCAGACACATGTAGCAGACACACGTGTAGCAGACACAGACACCAGCACGGAGACACTCATGTAGCAGGCACAGACACCAGCACGTAGACACATATGTAGCAGACACCAGCACGGAGACACTCATGTAGCAGGCACAGACACAAACACGTAGACACATATGTAGCAGACACAGACACCAGCACGGAGACACACATGTAGGAGAGACACAGACACCAACACGGAGACACATATGTAGCAGACACAGACACCAGCACGGAGACACATATGTAGCAGACACAGACACCAGCACGGAGACACATATGTAGCAGGCACAGACACCAGCATGTAGACACATGTAGCAGACAGAGACACCAGCACGGAGACACATATGTGGCAGACACAGACACCAGCACGGAGACACATATGTAGCAGACACAGACACCAGCACGGAGACACACATGTAGCACAAAACAGACACTAGCACGGAGACACACATGTAGCAGACACAGACACCAGCACGGAGACACACATGTAGCAGGCACAGACACCAGCACGGAGACACACATGTAGCAGACACATGTAGCAGACACAGACACCAGCACGGAGACACACATGTAGCAGGCACAGACACCAGCAGGGAGACACACATGTAGCAGACACATGTACGGTATTGAATTTCACGCATGCGCATATACAGATCGGAGTCTACCCTAAAATAATATGCCTTGCTGTGTTTCAGTATCTGGAGAAGCGGTTCGACTCCCGTGCCGCCAAACTGACAGGGACATGCATCATGATAATTCAGCAGGTGAGTGTGTGAGTGAGTGAGTGAGTGAGTGAGTGAGTGAGTGAGTGAGTGAGTGAAGTGATCGATGACATGTCTGTTTTGATTTCTACCGTGATTGTAATATACCCGCCTTTGCAAAGACACAGTGGGTATTTAAATCAACAACAGCTCTGTGTGATCCCTCATCAAGATACCCGAAAAAAAGTTATAATATGATGCTTCTCTACGACAGCCATGGGAAACAAAATTGGGCATCAAAAGTTAAAAACATGTTATACGAATGTGGATATGGTTATATTTGGTTACAGCAACATGTAGATATGCCACAACATTTCTTCTCCCGTTTGACACAGACTTTAAAAGATATGTACATTCAAAAATGGCATTGTTCTTTGTCCAGTCCTAGAAAAAGCAAACTACTACACTACATTTAAGACTACTATTATACTAGAACCTTATCTATTAAGTGTAAATTTACATAAGTTTAGAACAGCTTTCTCGATTTCGTTGTGGCTCACATGATCTATTTATTGAAACAGGCAGATATGAAGGTATTGCAAAAGAACACAGACTTTGTAGGATTTGTAAAACTGATTGTACTGAAGATGAATATCACTTTTTATGTGTATGTCCAGTGTATGAAGATTTAAGAGCAAAATATCTAAATAACTATTTCTACCGCAACCCAAACGGTAACAAATTTTGTAAATTAATGACTTGTGATTGTACAGAAACTATTAGAAATCTATCAATGTTCATTTATCATGCCATGAAACTAAGAAAATGTATGAATTTGTAACACGCCCCACACAATGTACTATAGGCCTTTGGCCTCATAAGTACCATGAATAAAGATTGATTGATCCCTCATCACCTTCTTGTGACATCCTCAATAAGACTCTTTCACTTCCAGGTGTTGTACATGGGAATTGCATCGTTTGCTCCATCAACGGCTTTAGAAGCGGGTGTGTATATTTATTTGCTTTAAGTTTCACAAAACGTTTATCTGAAAACGTCCCTTTTCTGTTTGGGAAAATCTTAAGTGTTTCTCGAATTTCAATACGAAACCAAGTAGGAAGGCTGAGGGCATATGAATACTGTGTGAAATGGCTTCTGAAAATGTACAAATTCTGTTCAAGAACATTTTTTATGTTTCTCGAATTTAATTTTATTTTACAAATTGCGAGACACCCCGTGAGATCCGTCACTAGATCTACCAACTTGAATACCAGTAATGAAACTTTTCGATATTGTTCCTGTAATTGACACATGGGTTTCACCTTCATCACAGTAACCATAGTTACAGCTTCCAAAGCCAGTTGTCCTAAACATGCCGAAAAGGTCTCTTTTTAATAAAAAAAAGACTATACGAAAGGTAAAGATGTATGATGACTGCCGAACTTCTGTGAAAAAAATCTAGATCATACAATGTCCTTTTTGTTACTAAACCACTGTATGGCGCTCTATACAACGTATGGCTAGTGAGTGAATTTGTTCTATGCATTTCAGTCACTGGGTTTCCGACATGGGCCACCATCATCACTGTAGGACTGGTGTCAACGTTCTACACCTCACTGGTGGGTACAGCGCACTCTGCAACAGTTGTAGTGAATACGGTGTTTAACATTAACAGGAGTTAAACATATTTTTTAGGAAAAGTGAAGAGTATACGTCTTAAGTGCCACATTGCGCTGAATCGTGTCCCTTTGTCGTGCCAGGATCCGTATGTTTGAATCATAGAGTCGCCTTAAGCGAAGTACAGCACTTGATTATTACGATTGCATGCGATTACACTATAGATATATATATTGTATAACAAGTAATATGCAGCAGCTCATTGCTGAGAAAACTGAAGTCATGGTAGTCAGCTTAGTAGCACATGCGACTACCATCATCGGGCCTTTGGCGGCATCAGAACACTGATAACGACTGATGCAGGAGGTGTCCTTGTCCAGACAAAGTGATGTGTGTCTGCTTGATTACTGACACTCTAGCTTCTTACTGTCTTATATCTTGTATAAGTCAAAAAGATCTCTCAAAATTACAAAACATCCAAAATACAGCAGCGAGCATCATCAGTAGATCGTCCAAAACCTCCCATATCACACCCACGATCTCCACTGGCGAGCGATCAAAGCAAGAATTGACAGGTCCTGCCTGTCTCTCTGATATTATCACGCCTCATTCTCCTGTACGTGAGCTCCGTTCTCAAAACCAAAATCTCCTGGCAGTCTCTCGCTACAAGCCCATGCCTTATGGAAACTGTACTGTCTACCTAAACGTGATCTAGCAGTCATCAGTTTACCGATCCAACACCAAGGCACAATCTTGTAAAATATTGGACAAAATTGAGATCCCACATTCCAAGTTTATTACCTCTGCGCACGTCTGTGTACCTGTACACGCCATTGTTCAAGGATGTATTTGGTAAAAGACTACAACAAAACAAAACAAAGTAATTATTCCTTATGCAATAAGGAAAACACACATGTACGTGGGTACTTTTACTACCGTGAGGTAGACTGTAACTTTACATACATCGGAGTCATCCTTGCATAGCATAAACACTGACAGAAGCGTCAGAGCAATCATTAAGCTTATCCCTATACAGCAAACGTCTATTTATAAACTACGTGGAGATTTTAAGTGCGCATCATAAAATTTACACGTGGTTTCTGATGCCACATTACACTAGAATTTTCACATACGGAATAAACACAAAATAAAGCATAAGTTACACCCAAAACCTATCTGAAACGTTTTTAACGATATAACTGATACATTTACACTATGGATGGCTGAAGTTCGACTTGATATAGCATGCAATGCTGAAAACCAATGTGGGAACCCACGGAACCAATGTCACTACTGCGACCGACGAACGTTCTAAAACTAGCACTTCCGGTCCTAAGCGAAGCGCATGATTGCGAACCACTATTAAAATATCACTGTTACTTGTACTGGCACAGAAACAGATCTTTCTCCTACTGTGTGCCAGTCTTGTGCCAGTTTTGTGGAAATGTCTACCCCTTGACAATCATTAAGTATTTTACTTTTGAGAAAAGTACTCCCCAAGAAATTGAAGACCGTATGTCACAAGTCTATGAGGATGAGTGCCCTAGCAATTCCACTGTTAATAGTTGCATTGGCACCTATGTTGAAGGCTTGGAGGGCAAGTCTTGATGATGACCCTTAGTCCCTTAACTTCCATCAATGAAGATTCAATCAAGCAGATAGAAAATCCGACTCCCCATTGTTCTCGGTGCCTTAGGTTTGGTACCTCGCAATCTGTTGACTGACATTGGGAGAATACCCGAGTTTGCTACCAGGAATACAGCCCTTCTGACATTCTAGGTAATGCAGAAGGCTGCAGTGTGGGGAAGTCTTCACATTTTTCTGGGTCGGTTCGAATAAGCAGCGCTTCCTGGGATAAACATGGCGGTGTGAGACTTCAAACCATATTCCCCTTGTGAAAAGCCTACAAGTAATATCAATATTCTCATGATTATTCGGGCAATACGTTTTGATGTGTCCTCTGTTTGGGCTCTCCGCTCAAGGTACAGTCCACACAGAGGGTACACCAAACAGTATTTTCCTTGGGTCAAGCCTAAAACCATTCAGTCTTGCCATATCTTTGTTGATAATATTTGGAACATTTCATGTCTGTATTATTTTAGGGTGGAATGAAAGCAGTTGTGTGGACAGACGTGTTTCAGTCAGTGGTGATGCTTGCCGGGCTACTAGCAATAGTCATTCAGGTATGATCGTTGGGAATTGTGTCAGAATGCATAGTTACAGTTACTGTAGCCGTCATGAAACAGAATTAATGTCCTCTGCTTTCTCAGCAAATAAAGCCATAAATATAATTTAAATATAATTCGAAGACCTGTATACATTTCTAATGGTATACTAGTATACTAGTTGATTTATTTTTTATTTAATGTTGTATTTATGACATCAATTTTAAAGTGAACCGAATCGGTAAATAGGTGAACCTAAAAATAGATGGTCCATCATGTCTAAAGTGAAACAAATTGGTATATTGGTAGACCGTGTACCAAATGGTTAGACACTTATAAAGTAAAAGTAATGGTTGCTCTTGTTCACCTTATAATACATGGTTCCTCGCGTTTAATGTATGAACAATGGATACATTGGTTGACTTAAAAATACATGGTTCATAACACTCAAAGTATTGGGTGTATTGGTTGACCTGAGAGTAAGTGTTCCATTCCATGATTTCAGGGATCCATCGTGGTTGGCGGCATGGGAGAAGTGTGGAGAATTAACGAAGAATGGGGAAGAATTAATTTCTTTAAGTATGTATCACATTCTGCTCATGAGATTTATGGGCTGACCCCGATCAAGTTCATATAGTTAAAGGCGAACGGAACAGTTCTTCTAGTCTTTTGGCTTAAAATTAGTTTGAAACATATTATGTTGCAAGTATTGTTTCATGCTTGGAATGTTTAAAAGACAAAACAAATTCGGAAAACACCTGACATTTGAAGAGCTTTCCCGACATTCAGGAAACACCGACATTTAATGGCGAGGTGAGATGAAATGGGGTTTAACATCGCATCCACGATTATTGCACTTATATAGCGACGTGTGTGTGTGGCTGTTTGTACTCGTCCGGACGTATAGTGCTAGCCCGCTGAGGTACCATGCCGTAGTTTAACATGAATACCCCACTCAGACACAGTATGCTGACGTCGAGCCGACCAGTCCTTGTTTAAGCCCCTTAATGCCGAGCGCCAGACAGGGTAACAACAAATACCATCTTTTAACGTCTTTTGGTATGACGCGCTCTCGGGGCGGACGCTTTATCACAAAACACGGAGGAGGTCCTGGCACTTAATGAGCTGATAGGCTTATAACAGATATAACGTATACTATAACGCACTCCAGTGTAAACTTGCGTGTTAGTGCTCGCATATGTGGAGGTCAAAATAGTCTAAGATAAATAAGCCAAGCAGTGAGTGTGCACAGTACAGAACGTTCAGAATCCCGCGACAATAGTTTTTTTTACCTTAACCTTATGTGCCATGGTTGTGTCCGTTTCAATTACAAACACCTGGAGTCATAACTAATTATCAGTGATCCGGATCCATTCCTGTGTATCAACATTTTTCCTTTTACGCCCAGTGAAGTCTGTTTAGGCAGAGTCGTGATTGTTTTCTGTCGTGGACGTTTTGAGTTTACCTTACATACTGCTTCAGGCGAGAGTCCGGTTTCCACCCGCCGAATTAGCCGAACTAGGCTGGAATTCTGGAGTTATATTTTGGCTGGACATAGTCCAATCAAAATCGAGTGACAAAATCAAATGCGGTTCAAAAAATAACATGGCCGTGCAGATTTCGGTCGATTGCAGGTTTACCGACAATTGGGCGTCCCAAGATATTTTCCAAGTCTTTTCATGTTCTTAACCAAGGTGCAAGAGTGATATGATGCACCCAGTTTTATTACAATATAGATCTTGATTATCGATCAGATCGTCTTGACTGGGAGCCGCCATTTTGTTTGAAGCAAATTCAAGTGATATGAGATGTGGAATCTTAATCAATTGGAGACATAGCTCGTTATAGCCACACATAGCTCGTTATAGCAACACATAGCTCGTTATAGCCACACATAGCACGTTATAGCCACACATAGCTCGTTATAGCCACACATAGCTCGTTATAGCCACACATAGCTCGTTATAGCCACACATAGCTCGTTATAGCAACACATAGCTCGTTATAGCCACACATAGCTCGTTATAGCCACACATAGCTCGTTATAGCCACACATAGCTCGTTATAGCCACACATAGCTCGTTATAGCCGCACATAGCTCGTTATAGCCACACATAGCTCGTTATAGCCACGCATAGCTCGTTATAGCCACACATAGCTCGTTATAGCCACGCATAGCTCGTTATAGCCACACATAGCTCGTTATAGCCACACATAGCTCGTTATAGCCACACATAGCTCGTTATAGCCACACATAGCTCGTTATAGCCACACATAGCTCGTTATAGCCACGCATAGCTCGTTATAGCCACACATAGCTCGTTATAGCCACGCATAGCTCGTTATAGCCACACATAGCTCGTTATAGCCACACATAGCTCGTTATAGCCACACATAGCTCGTTATAGCCACACATAGCTCGTTATAGCCACACATAGCTCGTTATAGCCACACATAGCTCGTTATAGCCACACATAGCTCGTTATAGCCACACATAGCTCGTTATAGCCACACATAGCTCGTTATAGCCGCACATAGCTCGTTATAGCCACACATAGCTCGTCATAGCCACACATAGCTCGTCATAGCCACACATAGCTCGTTATAGCCACACATAGCTCGTTATAGCCACACATAGCTCGTTATAGCCACACATAGCTCGTTATAGCCACACATAGCTCGTTATAGCCACACATAGCTCGTTATAGCCACACATAGCTCGTTATAGCCACACATAGCACGTTATAGCCACACATAGCTCGTTATAGCCACACATAGCTCGTTATAGCCACACATAGCACGTTATAGCCACGCATAGCACGTTATAGCCACACATAGCTCGTTATAGCCGCACATAGCTCGTTATAGCCGCACATAGCACGTTATAGCCACACATAGCACGTTATAGCAACACATAGCTCGTTGTAGCCACACATAGCTCGTTATAGCCACTGGTGGCTGTACGATTGAGCCAGGAAAGTCCAACCTAGTTCGGCGAGGGTGGAAACTGGACATTAAGTCGGTTAACTCCCTTGACCCGGAAAGATGGCTTCAGCTGCTGTCACGTCGCAACAGGAAAGGCCTCAATGGAAACAGAATAATACAGAAAACATAATGATTCGACGGATAAAGATTTCATTCAGATGGCTCACGGAAATATATATTCTGATGCTAATAGTGTTGAGGCTGATGTCGCTGGACATTGAGTCTCGATGCATCAGTTTCCTCATCTGACAATTTGAAAAAGCCACGATTGATCCCATTGTTAATAGAATGTGTACAATGTACATGCTTACACTCCACAAATAACGCTAGCATAAATGAGCAAAACGTCGTCTGTCGTGTAGCCCATACGTCTATCGTATTAGCATTATTTACTAACAAAATAGCCGAACTTGGTCATATGTGACGTCACAAGCTAAAGGCCCCCAGAACAAGGCCACCTTTATATGCATAGATAAATGCAGTTACATATATATTATATATGAACCATTCCGAACACAATATATGCGTGGGAATATGAGTCATGTATCAGTATGTACATAGGTATGCTACCAGGTGCATGCGAATAGAAAATATGGTGCAATAACTGGTGCAAGTTCTCAGTTGTGCAGTGGCTCACGGGAGTCCTGGGAGGTTCCGCGTTGTGGTTCGAATCCCAGAATCGCCCTGATTCACGTGTCCTCTCAGTAACCGTGCTTGTTGGATTCACTAAAGTAGTATTAATTTGAGATCTGCATCGCTAAGTCCTTTTCGTCCACATTAACTTTAGAAAACTGAAACATGTTCACTCGCTCTGACATGGATGTGTGTGTTTTACGTTTCAGCTTTGATCCAGATCCCACTGTCCGCCATTCCTTCTGGTCACTGGTCATTGGTGGGATGATAGGCTGGACGGCGACTTACGGGGTCAACCAGGCCAGTGTCCAGCGCTACTGTGCACTGCCAACACTACAGAAGGCCAAACTGTAAGGACTGTATGGAAAAGCTGGGATAAAATAATGTGTCCTCGGTTTTTACAAAATGAAATCATTCACTGGACTTTCTGACAAGAAATATTGTGTGTAAAAAAACACTGGGCGTGGCTCCTCCAAGTCCAGTCGATTTCTATGATGTTAACTCCCAAATCTTATTGCTAACTACAGTAAACTACAGTTATAAAGAACTCGAGGGGACCACTCATTTTAGTTCGTAATAACCGTAGTTCGTTATAAGCATACATACAGCATATATACAACAAATAGCCGGGACTAAAATTAAGTTCGTTATATCCGTCAGTTCGTTATAAGCGTGTTCGTTATAAACGTAGTTTACTGTACATTAAATGGTGAAGGAACGTCACCTCGTTTCGTTTGTTCCAACATATTTGAAAGGGACTACAGACCTATTTCAGAGAGATTTGCAGTTTGTGTAAAATCTCTACGGTGATGCAGCGTTCATGCAATCAGAGGTCGTTATTGTTTTTGGAAACCTCTGATTGACCAAACAAATTCATTGACCAAATTGATCAAAACAACAATCATGATAGAGCGATCATTGATAACACTGTGAGAGCAGCCCGCTGTGCCTTGTGAGAAGTGTTGACTGTTTTCATAGTCAAGAGACAACATGGATTTCAAATTCTTTTTTTTACGGGGAACACAACATTTCGTTGTAATTACTTACGTATTCATCAGGTGAATGAATGCTAACTTCTTTGATAGGCATTTAGAAGTTGGAGTACTTAGTACGGATAAGAATTTATGGATGAACAACTTCTTTATTACAATTAAGAGCGACGTTTCGGTGTAGGTTCTAACACCGTTATCAAGCAAGTGATATACGGAGTATGGTTGACAAGTATATATACAGGTAGGAGGCAATGTTTATACAGTAGAGTAGATATCAGATGTAGTTATACTGGAGTGGAGAAGCCTGTTATGTGCAGACAACGGTAGTAACTGATGCTACTATGTTTAGAGCCTACATACATACATATATTAAGCTGCACGTGTAAAACAACAATACACATAAGATAACAAAGGTGGAAACTTAACAAGGAAAGGCAACTGTTAACTAGCCCTGGTTGGTGATTAGCAATAGACAAATGGAAGCCTGGAGTTGAATAAGCACTGATTGGTAATAAGAAATGGACACCCAAGGCACATGTGTTCTCTGGTCACGGTAAATGGCTGGCTCGTATCTCCTGATGTCAATGGTCTCTAGTAGATTCCTTGGAGGCCAGTTGTTGTTGGTTGTGGGCAGGACTTTGGGTAGTATCATATTCTTCCTAATCCAAGACTAATGAATATCTATCCGATAAAACGATAGACACATTTTTTGTTTGGCATACGTTTTGTTATATAATGTCTGTCCGATGAGGTATGAACGCTAATTGAAAACATTTAATTGCAGTTCGGTGATGCTGAATGTCATTGGCGTTATCATTCTATTGACCATCGTGTGTCTTGCCGGAATCATTATCTTCGCCTATTACGCTAAAAAAGGATGTGACCCACTGTCTGCAAAATACGTCACTAACTCGAACCAAGTAAGAACTGATAGAATGAATAATAACTACTGAATGGGAAGGCTTAGTAATGATTTATCTGTCTGAAAACAAAGTAGCAGTCAGTGTTCGATTTTCAACTTGTTAAAACTGTTTGGTGTCAGCCGTCGTCTTTGGAAGCATTGTAAGCAGCGCTGTAATACCATGCTCACTCATTCACTCATTCTCACACTTACCTTTCCAGCTGATACCCTACTTCGTGATGGAGGTGCTCGGATATCCCGGTCTCCCAGGATTGTTCATCTCATGTCTCTTTAGTGGAGCACTCAGGTAGGAAGTCTTCAGTATAGTGGAGCACTCAGATAGAAACTGTTCTGTTAAGTGGAGCACTCAGGTAGGAAGTCTTCAGTATAGTGGAGCACGCAGGTAGGAACTGTTCAATATAGTGGAGCACTCAAGTAGGAACTGTTCAGTATAGTGGAACACCCAGGTAGGAAGTCCTCAGTATAGTGGAGCAATCAGGTAGGAACTGTTCAATATAGTGGAGCACTCAGGTAGGAACTGTTCAATATAGTGGAGCACTCAGGTAGGAACTGTTCAATATAGTGGAGCAATCAGGTAGGAACTGTTCAATATAGTGGAGCAATCAGGTAGGAACTGTTCAATATAGTGGAGCACTCAGGTAGGAAGTCTTCAGTATAGTGGTCTTCAGTATAGTGTAGAAACAGTTGACTTGGATTGATTATGTGAGATAATACCATGTAGGTGGGCCGAGCAACAGGTGAGGACTTCTTAACGTTATCCGTCTTTGTCGTCTCACATAGCCTTACCCAGAACATCACCATATTTTAATCGGCAATCTTGTAACTTCTTACAGCACGATGTCCTCCTGTCTGAACGCCCTGGCTGCTGTCTGCTGGGAGGACTTCCTGAAGCCAGTCCTCGGGGAAAGACTGACCGAGGGACAGAAAACACTCGTTACAAAATTGTTGGGTTAGCTTTTCTAAGTTATTCATTTTCATTACAGTAGAGGTACGAGTTCTTCAGATCCAAATCCACTTATGTAGGAAAGAAAAGAGTACAGCCTCTGCCTAACACTCGGCGCAATTCATTCCAGTGGAATGAAATGAGTAGCCTGTGGTTTCGATGTAGAGCTAGATTACCTGTATAATTAATAATAATAATAATAATAATAATAATGACCTCCTCAGCGCAGATCCCCAACATTCCTTACTAACCTCCTTTACATGGATGACCTTGAAGTTATTGCCAATGGAGGATCCACTAAAAAAACAGATTCTCCTTGTTGGGTCCTTTACTAATGACATTGGCATGTCCTTTGGACTCGACAAATGCAACATTATTCATCTGAATTGTGGCAAGGTAGAAGAGCGAGGATCAGTCAGTTTACTTGGAGGAGGAGTTTTTGACCATCTCGTTGAAGGTCAGGCCTATACGTACTTAGGGATGCAGAAACTACAGAATGCCCATATCAAGGAAAACCTTCGGGCAGATTTCAAATGTAGGCTTAAGAAAAGCTGAAGTTCAGAGCTGAACTCTTATGATAAAATTAAAGCCACAACTGCTTATGTTGTACCCGTCCTTTCACATTCCTTTTGATGCTGTTGATTGGACGTAACAAGAGCTTGACAGCCTCACACGAAGATTCATGTCACACAATAGATCCAATCACCCTCGCTCTTCCCACAATCGCTTATATTTACCAGTCATAATGGGAGGGCATGGTTTGATTAACGTTGGGGTTCTTCGTGATAGAATTTTTTTGTGCACTTTTGCACATATTTATTTGTATGATGATCCTCTTGTGAAGCATGTCAAGACTCGTGACGAAAACAAGGAATTCCACAGTTTTCTAGAACGAGCAAAGGATGTGGTACACAATCTCGATGCCAATGGTTCTGTACTGATGGACCGTACAGAAATGAGTGTCATCCTGTTGGATGAAGCAGAAGGCTTTCTGTTTGCTGCTCAAGACCAGTCACTTCCCACTCGAAACCATCAATTTCTGATTTTGCATCAAAATGTAATGTAGAATATGCAATGAATTTAATGAGACTGTCCAACATATTGTCAGTGGATGCCCAGCTTTGGCACTCCATCATATCTTAAGCGATATGATGGAGTGGCTCGATCCTTTTGTTACCGGCTTTGCCATGCTCGAACTTTCACACGACCAAGAATATGTTTGAGTTCGAACGGTATGCACTATTTGACGGAAGTCAACAAGATTCCAAAAATGATATCATTTGTGTTTGTTCTGAGGTTCATGCTTGCAGCAGTGGTCTGCAAGCGTTACAGGTGGCAGTGTCATTCCACAGAGCATTGCAGTACTCTTAGCGTGACACGTAACTGTGAATGACCAGTTGTGCTCGCCTTGTCTAAATATCTACGGATTCCGCACTGAATAATTATACGTTGAATATGAACCCGCTGACTTCAACGGATGTAGCTGGAAGCTTCACGAGTACCAAGGATGAGGGATCCCCTCTTGTCAGCTTTCAGATTTAGCTAATATGCCACAACGGACATTGTGGGTGCATCCCTACGATTGACCTTGCAATGTTGTACTTTGACTGGCTTGATTCAAAGCTATAACTGAATGTCATTATCATATCCGTGGAAACTGAATCCATGCTACATTATTATGCTGCCAACTGGTTGGATGTATAGTGAAAGCAAAGAAGGCCCCACGGGAAGTTCATTAAAGGCGAATTCATTGGTGTTCGCAAAAATATTGAATGAAATGGTATTAGTTAGGTTCCTATTTTTTGGTGAGTGAGTGGGTCTGGTTTTACGCCGCTTTTTGCAATATTCCAACAATATCACGGCGGGGGACCCCAGAAATGGGCTTTACACATTGTGCCCATGTGGGGAATCGAACCCGGGTCCTCAGCGGGACGAGCGAACGCTTTCACCACAAGGCTACTCCCGTGCCTCATCTTTTAGCTTTCAGTCTGAAATTAGGAAATATGCCCGTAAACAAAGCATGGCCGGGTGGGTTTACTGTGTTTGACGCCTTAGCCTCAATACATTCAAAAAATATTCTCTGCAAAGGAGGTCCAAACAGTTTTACTTGTTGTATTTTATTGTTCTAACAGTCTGTAATTTTACCCACTTATCTTTTAGGAACGGATTATTTGCACAGGTCTTGGTCCGGAGTGTTAGACTGTTGCATGGAATATTTTCGGCTTATGCTTACATGTGCAAGATCGGCAGCTAAACCTTTTTAAAGAGGCATTATGAAGTTGGAGCACTTCCTTGATAACGGTGTTAGAACCTACACCGAAACGTCGCTCCTAATTGTGATAAAGAAGTTGTCATCCATATATCTTATTCTTACTAAGCACTCCAACTTCTTAATGCCTCTCAAAGAAACTTTGGTGCCCTGTTAGAAAAGATCTATAGCATCCAGATTGTCCTTCACGGATTGGTTTGCGTCATTTAGGGTACTTCATTATTACAACAAAACTAAACAATACTTTCACTTTGCAGTTCTGTTTTTCGGTGGCGCTGGTATCGGGATGTCTTTTATGGCAATGAATTTAGGAGGAACAGTTTTACAGGTGCGTGATGGGGTGTTTTATTAAACAGCGTTACTGGATCTAAATGGACTCAATATCAACAAATAAAAGAGTAAGCATATTGAATCAGCAAAAAACGTTTGAAATGCTTTCAAATAGCTGATATTGCAGACAAAGTTTAAGCTGATGAATTTTTTAAAACATTTTGATCGAATGTTGAGATGAGACCTTTGTTCTGTGTCGTCACTAAGGCATCGTTGAGCTTCACTGGGGCTGCCTCGGGGCCTCTGCTGGGGATGTTTGCTCTCGGCGCCTTCTTCCCATGGGCCAATTGGATTGTAAGTTCAGTCAGATATAGCGGACACCAATAATGTATGTTTCATTTCACGCTGGTATTTGACGTGTCAAAATGCAAATAAATTTTAAGTGTGATTTCTCCTTTCTTCTAAAGAAATAGTCCTTTAATTTCAGTGCATAAGTGGTTCAAAAAAAGGTTTATGAATATAAAAGTTTGTTGTTTTGCTTTTCTTACTTCATGGTCAAGTTCCCTAAAAATATATAATGTTTTTGTATATATATATATTGAGCTGTACCTTTCTTTTAAAGATTGGAGTGGAGGAGAATTCTAGATTGATTTTCACGCCGAATACCATGGCTCGATTCCCCACACGGAAACATTGCGTTGAATCCTTTTCTAGTTACCCCCGCACTGATAATGCAGAATATTGCTTAGAGCGGCGTAAACTCACTCACTCACTCACTCACTCAAAGTGAAATAGCGAGTATGAGATCATATATGTCTTGTAGGGAGCAGTGGTCGGAGGTATTCTAGGGTTGGCGTTTCCCTTGTGGATCAGCATAGGAGCCTACACGGTTGTGGGAGCTCCAACTGGCCTTGACTACCCAACATACAACTGCAGCGTCCCCAACACCACCGACTCCATGACAACAACAATGTCCTCCATCATGACAACTGGGCCCGTCGAATAGTGAGTGTTGTGTGCGCACGAAGTAAGGCCTTTTAGCTTTTATTTGATGAAATGACTGGCCTAAAAGTCAATGAAGGTGGTCGATGCTGAAGAAATTTCATTTTCGAGATTTGTTCTGCTGCTGCTGAATGAAAAACAAACTGGAAAGTCACATCATCCAGGACGTACGACTGTCAAACGGTAACGAAAGATTGATCGAGGACAGATTGTATTTCTAGAAGATTTCACATTAAAACTGCCGACCTACACCTTTCAGAAAGTAAGATTGAATGCACTAACAATTAATTGCAATTAAATTACGATATTAAAAATTTCACCTATATCTAGATACATGTAGGTACCTTTGTGATCTAAGTCCAATCAATGGTATGTAATGAAAAAAATCTGATTTAATGAAAACAGTATCTAGATGACAGCCCGATTGTTTCCAGACCGTTCACCTATGGCGGGAGTACTTTCTGTGCGGACAAACCTTTTGATACATACGGTGTGAATGGCGGGTGCGGTACCCTCTTTCCGAACACCTGGTATCATCACAGATATTCAGTGATGCATTCATATAATTTTCATCACTATTTAGCCCTTTACTACCAAAGGAATGTTGCACGGCTGATAATGGAGACTGATTGTGCTCTAGCGCTGGCATTATATATTTAGACTGGTGTCTCCGCCCTCAACACAGTGTCCACTCTACCTCATCTCTACTCTATCATGTTTCAGTACTGGCGTCTCCGCCCTGTACACAGTGTCCTCTCTACCTCATTTCTACTCTGTCATGTTTCAGTACTGGCGTCTCCGCCCTGTACACAGTGTCCTCTCTACCTCATCTCTACTCTATCATGTTTCGGTACTGGTGTCTCCGCCCTGTACACAGTGTCCTCTCTACCTCATCTCTACCCTATCATGTTTCGGTATTGGTGTCTCCGCCCTGTACACAGTGTCCTCTCTACCTCATCTCTACTCTGTCATGTTTCAGTACTGGTGTCTCCGCTCTGTACACAGTGTCCTCTCTACCTCATCTCTACTCTGTCATGTTTCAGTACTGGTGTCTCCGCCCTCAACACAGTGTCCTCTCTACCTCAGCTTTACTCTATCATGTTTCAGTACTGGTGTCTCCGCTCTAGACACAGTGTCCACTCTACCTCATCTCTACTCTATCACGTTTCAGTACTGGTGTCTCCGCCCTGTACACAGTGTCATCTCTACCTCATCTCTACTCTATCATGTTTCAGTACTGGTATCAACGCCCTGTACACCGTGTCATATTTGTGGTACCCGGCTATTGGAGCAGCGACAGTGATCATTGTTGGTCTCATTGTGAGCGCTATCACGGGTAAGTTATCGTATTTATTTTTCAAGATAATTGACATCTTGTTCACATCATACCGTATATTAAATATCTTTTTCCGCTGTACTCGCAGGTATGAATCGACTAGGTGATGTGGACACAAAGTATCTGGTACCTTTCTTCGACCGACTCTTCTGCTGCCTCCCCGGCCCAATCAGCAGGTGTCTCCGTTGTAACCAGGAGTTCAGAGACCCGGAGGTAGGTGTCTCCACTGTAACCAGGAGTTCAGAGACCCGGAGGTAGGTGTCTCCGCTGTAACCAGGAGTTCAGAGACCCGGAGGTAGGTGTCTCCCCTGTAACCAGGGGGTCAGAGATCCGGAGGTAGGTGTCTCCACTGTAACCAGGAGTTTAGAGACCCGGAGGTAGGTGTCTCCGCTGTAACCAGGAGTTCAGAGACCCGGAGGTAGGTGTCTCCACTGTAACCAGGAGTTCAGAGGCCCGGAGGTTGGTGTCCCCGCTGTAACCAGGAGTTCAGAGACCCGGAGGTAGGTGTCTCCGCTGTAACCAGGAGCTCAGAGACCCGGAGGTAGGTGTCTCCGATGTAACCAGGGGGTCAGAGACCCGGAGGTAGGTGTCTCCGCTGTAACCAGGAGCTCAGAGACCCGGAGGTAGGTGTCTCCGCTGTAACCAGGAGTTTAGAGACCCGGAACTACGTGTCTCCGCTGTAACCAGGAGTTTAGAGACCCGGAACTACGTGTCTCCGTTGTAACCAGTAGTTTAGAGACCCGGAGGTAGGTATTTCCACTGTAAACAGGAGTTCAGAGACCCGGAGGTTGGTGTCCCCGCTGTAACCAGGAGTTCAGAGACCCGGAGGTAGGTGTCTCCGCTGTAACCAGGAGTTCAGAGACCCGGAGGTAGGTGTCTCCGCTGTAACCAGGAGTTCAGAGACACAGATGTAGGTGTCTCCGCTGTAACCAGGAGTTCAGAGACCCGGAGGTAGGTGTCTCCACTGTAACCAGGAGTTCAGAGACCAGGAGGTTTGTGTCCCCGCTGTAACCAGGAGTTCAGAGGCCCGGAGGTTGGTGTCCCCGCTGTAAGCAGGAGTTCAGAGACCAGGAGGTTTGTGTCCCCGCTGTAACCAGGAGTTCAGAGGCCCGGAGGTAGGTGTCTCCGCTGTAACCAGGAGTTCAGAGGCCCGGAGGTAGGTTTCTCCATTGTAACCAGGAGTTCAGAGACCAGGAGGTTTGTGTCCCCGCTGTAACCAGGAGTTCAGAGGCCCGGAGGTAGGTGTCCCCGCTGTAAGCAGGAGTTCAGAGGCCCGGAGGTAGGTGTCTCCGCTGTAACCAGGAGTTGAGAGACCCGGAGGTAGGTGTCTCCGCTGTAACCAGGAGTTCAGAGACCCGGAGGTAGGTGTCTCCGATGTAACCAGGAGTTCAGAGACCCGGAGGTAGGTGTCTCCGCTGTAACCAGGAGTTCAGAGACCCAGAGGTAGGTTTCAAGCCCCATTTGCATAAAACAACCTTTAGCTGATACCGTTTTAAGCTGTTGACCACGGCTGAGACTGGTTTGTGAAACAGAAGTATCTAAAGCTGGTGGCTTGGGTTGACTCATCAATGTCTGGTGTAAATGGTGATCAGCTGGTCCCACTGCCTGGAATGACTGTAAATGATAATCAGCTGATCACACTGCCTAGAATGACTGTAAAAGATAATCAGTTGATCACACTGCCTGATATTACAGAAAATGATAATCAGATGATCACACTGCCTAGAATGACTGTAAATGATAATCAGTTGATCACACTGCCTAGAATGACTGTAAAAGATAATCAGTTGATCACACTGCCTGATATTACAGAAAATGATAATCAGTTGATCACACTGCCTAGAATGACTGTAAATGATAATCAGTTGATCACACTGCCTAGAATGACTTTAAATGATAATCAGTTGATCACACTGCCTGGAATGACTGTAAAAGATAATCAGTTGATCACACTGCCTGATATTACAGAAAATGGTGATCAGCTGGTCCCACTGCCTGGAATGACTGTAAATGATAATCAGTTGATCACACTGCCTAGAATGACTGTAAAAGATAATCAGTTGATCACACTGCCTGATATTACAGAAAATGATAATCAGATGATCACACTGCCTAGAATGACTTTAAATGATAATCAGTTGATCACACTGTCTGATATTACAGAAAATGATAATCAGTTGATCACACTGCCTGGAATGACTTTAAATGATAATCAGTTGATCACACTGCCTCGAATGACTTTAAATGATAATCAGTTGATCACACTGCCTGGAATGACTGTAAAAGATAATCAGTTGGTCACAAGGCCTGGCGCCAATCTAAATGGTAATTAGCAGCTCACAATGGCTGACGTCACTGTAGATGGTAATCAGTAGCTCACAATGACTGATGCCACTGTAACTGGTAATCAGTAGCTCGCAATGACTGATGCCACTGTAACTGGTAATCAGTAGCTCGCAATGACTGATGCCACTGTAACTGGTAATCAGTAGCTCGCAATGACTGATGCCACTGTAACTGGTAATCAGTAGCTCGCAATGACTGACGCCACTGTAACTGGTAATCAGTAGCTCGCAATGACTGACGCCACTGTAACTGGTAATCAGTAGCTCGCAATGACTGATGCCACTGTAAATGGTAATCAGTAGCTCACAATGACTGATGCCACTGTAACTGGTAATCAGTAGCTCGCAATGACTGAAGCCACTGTAAATGGTAATCAGTAGCTCACAATGACTGAAGCCACTGTAAATGGTAATCAGTAGCTCACAATGATTGATGACACTGTTAATGGTAATCGGTAGCTCACAATGATTGATGACACTGTAAATGGTAACCAGTTAGTCACAATGACTGATGCCACTGTAAATGGCAATCGGTAGCTCATAATAACTGATGCCACTGTCAATGGTAATAAGTAGCTCACAATGACTGATGCCACTGTAAATGGTAATCAGTAGCTCGCAATGACTGATGCCACTGTAGATGGTAATCAGTAGCTCATAATGTCTGATGCCACTGTAAATGGTAATCAACTAGTCACAATGACTGATGCCACTGTTAATAGTAATAAGTCGGTCACAGTTTGGTGTAGCTACTGAATATTTCAATGGTCTTGAAACAGCAACTTAGAAAACTGCCGGGCCTAAGAAAATATATCCAATAGTTTTGTAGTGGCTAAGAGTTAAACAAACACAGTTATTCGATGCCGAAACGTATTTGAAATGGATATTATAGTTGTGTCTTGGATCTTTACAGTTTTTCTATGACTGTTGTCTAGTTATGTTTAAATAACGTTTGTAATATTATGGTGAAATCCAGTTTTCAAGTCTATACTTTCCTCTGCCTCGTCTTGTTTGCTATTGTTTTAAACGGGGAACCGGTGTGTGAGTGAGTGAGTGAGTGAGTATGTTTTATCTCCACTTTTAGACATTTTTCCAGCAATTTCACGGCGGCATTTCATGGACATTGTACCCATGTCGGGAATCGATCCCGGGTGTTTGGCGTGACGAGCTTACGTTTTAACCATTGGGCTACCCGACCGCCGCAACTAAATTGAAATTCGTTAACAAAATTATCTTTGGATGCTATGCGTTGAGTCTCCGGCATTTGCACCATGTACCCCAAGGGCCCCACTGACAACAATTTGAAAATAATACATGAGTCTAAGCCCTTGTATCTGAAATGATATAACGAACTCCCCGGCAGCATGCTAACGACGTAAACACATTCATAGTTATCTCCCTTGCATTACATTCGGATATGCTGGTTTACGTTCACTAAAATAATTTTACAGGTCTTACGTTTCGAGATAATATGATTATATAATTACACTGATATTGTTTACAAAAAATCAACACTTCCCAGCGGGATATATGAATTGGGTTTTTTCTAATCTGTCAGCGGGGTACAAGGCAAGCCTTGTGCATTAGCCAATCAGAAAGTAGAATAAGATAATGCCTGAGAGTAATTTGAAAGATCCCATGTGTTGAAGCTGTCATATCGCAGTGGTTAAATCATTACATTTGCTTTCTCACCATGTTATTTGTTTACTATCAGGAAATAGCATCTGAAAAGGATGAGGAGATTGTGATACCAGCGTCTGGTGATCTTGTCAGCAGTTCCGGCAAGGAGAAGTTACCCCTGAACGGGTCGGGACATATGCCTGTGTATGGATTATCATATAAAGAGAACAACGAAAATAAAACCGGATTTATCAACCCAGCTGCCGATGTCTTCAACGATCAGAAACAGCAAAACGGAACAAAGTTCTGAATCACTCTTTATAAGGATCTCAAATTGATAAATGTATTCAAATGTGACCTGTCAGGAGAAAAGGAACCTTATGCGTGCTGTAGAAAGACGTTTCACGCAACCTACTTCCTTAAAAATCTCCATTTAGATCTATGTGAACTGTACAAACATATCTTATTTTCTCTTGCTAGGTCGTAATGTAATAAAAACATTACGCCAAAACAAAGTAGCACATATGTCTACTATCGATTCATCGGTCACTATATCGAAATTTGTACTACAGTTCCAAGGCTGAAAATGGGATTTGCAGAACATTAGTCCAACTGTTTGAAGCCAGGTATCTCTTGAATGAATATGTATTGAAGCCAGTGGATTGTGTTCCTGTGTTCCTGAGATGCTGTAGTAATAAAATATGATGAGAAGTCTAAATGTGACGTTTCACCCATAAGGTCCCTTATCTCATAGTTGGTCACGCATGTTGATTCATGTACGGTCACGTTGATATCCAACAACTATTTTATACAACACAATGTGTTGTAGAGGATTTCTTTTTGTTATATCATCATTTCATAGTGATTCATAAACACATGCTCATGACACAGTCGGAATCGTACAATCGACTCTTCTTTGAGCAGAGCTTTCGTTCAGGGGTTTTCTGTTTGATACACACCTCTGTATGTATCAGTATGTATCTGTATGTCTCTGTAGATTCATTACAACATGTAGCAGGCTTTCAAATTTCGAATGTATCAACAAGTGAACAACACTTTACGTACAGTACGTATTTAATATCGCTGAACATACGCCCGTCGACGTGGTTCAGTGGATCGAGTGTCTCCCTGCAGAGCGGAATGTCAGGGTTTTGATCCCGGCCGCGTCATACGAACTACGTAACACGCTCACACACACTATGGCAATTTCTCACACACACGCACACACACGTGCATGCACGTCAATTTTCGTCAAATGATCTTAAACCACAATTCCTTTCACCTTATATAGTCAGGTTTTTCCTTTTCTTTGTGAGATTGTTTTACCTGTATGCAAAACCTATTAATAAAACCAATACAATGCCATTTTGAACTCTGATTATATATCGATGTGTATATAGTTTTAAGATATGTGAATGTTGCTTGTGTAAAAAGTGAATACAATATGTCTCTACCCATCATCATTAGATGTGTATATTCATGAATAAACAGTTTTATACTTTTACTAAAATCACTTTTTATGAGTTATTTTCTACAATGACTAAGAACGGTGTAGCAACCCATGCTTGCCGTAAAAGACGACTTTGCTTGTCGTAAGAGGCGACTAACGGGATCGGGTGGTCAGGCTTGGGGACTTGGTTGATGCATGTCATCGATCACAATTGCGTGGATCGATGCTCATGATGTCAGTCACTGGATTATCTGGTCCAAACTCGACCATTTACAGACCGCCGTCATTTAGCTGGAATATTGCTGAGTGTGTGTGAGTGAGTTGGGTTTAACGCCGCTTTTAACAGTATTCCAGTTATATCGCGGCGTGTCAGCTGAATGTGGGAGGAAAGCCCGAAGTGATGCAGGTCTTAGACGTTTACCACTTCAGTGAAACCCACGAGCACGGGTATGGTGCTGACAAACCTAGAAACATAATTGGGGCGAACCGGGATTCGAACCCACATTCATAGGTTTCTGGCTTGCCCAAGGGACGCAACTCTGCACAGCAAATCGCGGCGCCTCAGACGACTGGGTCACCCGTGCCCCCGGATATTGCTGACTGTAGCATTAAACAACAAACAAACAAAAGAACAATGCGTATGTGTTGTTGATTCAGTAAACATGCAGTTAAGGCAGGATTTATTTTCAGCAATGACATTTTACAAATACTTGCCTTTCAAAGAGTAACGATAACTGCGTGATAACCATGAGCAAGTCATGTTTCTTTGTTTGTTTGTATTTTGCTTAACGCCTGCACTCAGCAATATCCCTGGTATATAACGGCCTGTAAAGAATCGAGTCTACACCAGACAACCCAGTGATCTGCGCCTTCCTGGTAAGATGACAAGGAACTAAGCAGGTCACTCAGTCTGACCACCCGATTCATTTAGTTCCCTCATTTGGTTGCTAGGTACCAATTCTCATCCGGAATAAAGGAGTCAGTCATGACATGGCACACCAGCTAAACCGTGTGTTGAACTGTGGTTTGTATCACGGCAGGGAACGCCAAAAATGGGCTTCTCGTCGCATTGTGCCAACGGATGGAATCGAACCAGGGCATTCAGCATAACAAGCTAACGCCTGTCCTGGGCAACCTGATCTCTTTAAGAGAACATGAAATGTCATATATTTTGTCTACATTTCACGTGCTGCAGAAAGGCTGAGTTCTCTTCCTCCAATGGGGAGGATGTGTGAAGCCCAGTGTTGGTGTCCCCCGCCGTGATGTTGCTGGAATATTGCCAAAAGAGACGTAAAACCATACTCACTCACTCAGCCAATAGCAGTGTTGACATATCATCTGACCCATTAGAGTAGAGTGACAATAATGTCCATAACGACTTGTAGTTATTGATGAAAATTATATGTAAATAACCTTTGGTCTATTTTCATGGTTGCTATGTTATTTTAATATATATGCACAAACAATAATAAGTGTTTTTAGTCTATACTGAGTACAATTTATTTTCTCTATCAATATGTCCCACTGCCGTTGATACTTATGTTACTGCAGACGAAGATGATGTTCTCAAGACACATCCGCTCCAAGTTTATTTATTTAACCAAGCTACCCATTTCTTAAATATAAGTGATGACAAAATCCTCCTGCCTTTTATACTCCTTGCCTTAAGTATATATTAGAAACGATTGACTTGATACGTCTCAAGCAAAATGCCCAACAATAGAAAGGAAGGCAATACTATTTATGTTACTGCCAAGTTGCAGATTTACCTGGGAAACACAGCACGACTTCTTTGGTGTTAATGTCGTTGTCTCCCATATATTGTCCACGTTCCTATAGCAAATCGAAACCAATACATATTCAGGTGTATTCATGTCAGCGTTGCTTCTGACAACATTTCCAATGCATATTATTAATGATCGGTCAGTCCATTTAGTGCAATGTCCAACAATTGAACAGATGGATTCCCTACACGCTGTTCTTGTCTGGGCGGCTGTTTTCATCCTACATCCCACGACGAGAGCCATCACAATAACGCACCTTCACCGCCAAGCTCTGCCTGAAGCTGCGGACAGTGACGACTATGAAGTCACAGTCGGGTTGGACTTGTTAGCTTGCAGTGTCAGATGCATCACTGAGGGATCTTGTGTTGGAATGTCCCACAAGCAGAACCCATCTACGTGTGTGTGGCGAGGGACCCCGCCCTCAGAGATGGTTAAAGATGTTTCGGACTGGGGGTATTGGAAGGTTTGTTTGTTGTTTAATGCCTCAGTTAGCAATATTCCAGCCGGCACGGAGTAATCAACGTGTTCTCGTCTTTGAAAAGTTTGAATTGTTTGTTTGTTTAATGCTGCAAGTCTTCAGAATTCTAGCTATAGGGCATGACGGTCTGTCGAATAGAATCTGTTTCAGACGAGGGGTAAAACGGGTACTCGAGTGCCCGAGAAAGGGGGATAACCCATATCTTCCTTAACAGCTTGTTGGAGAAAGACCGGCTACGGCTGTCAGCATGTTAGAGTGAGTGAGTGAGTGAGTATGGTTTTACGCCGCTTTTAGCAATATTCCAGCAATATCACGGCGGGGGACACCAGAAATGGGCTTCACACATTGTACCCATGTCGGGAATCGAACACGGGTCTTCGGCGTAACGAGCGAACGCTTTAACCACTAGGCTACCCGACCGCCCCTCAGCATGTTAGAAGCATGGAGAGTCGGCTAATATGGGGGGCTAGACATAGTTACATTTCTATCGTTAGGTATTAGATAGATTAATTCTTTTAATTTTTTAGTTTTGAATACGGCCAGCTTAAAATATTGGCTTATTTTGACATATGTATGATTGTTTGGCGAAGTTTGACTTCGTGATTACATTTCGTTTTTTGCAGCAGAACTTATAGCAATTCTACAGGCATTGACAGGCAGGCATAAATATGACGATGAAGCAGTCATTTCTACCGATTCATTGACAGCCATTAAGACTATTGACTCTGGAGTTAATGGGTCCAGATATGATATTCTGAACGAAATTTTGAAACTGGACACATTTTCAATACTAAATACTAATCTCATGTAGTATTGCTTGGGTTCCATATCATGATGGTTTTCATGGTAATTAAATAGCAGATACGTTTTCTAGGTCATTTTCAGTGAACATTCGCCTCAAACAGTTAGAATGTCCTCAATATGACATCGTTTTCCCCTGCTGCAATAGTGGGCCCCAGTATCGCAGTACAGTTTTATTACTTTTAAATCGTTTCTTTTTCTGCACTGTCTTCTGTTGTTTTACTGAGAGAGTATCGTCTTCCTAATCAAACTTGTATTTGCTTCATGTTCTAATCCCAATCACCGAGCAGAGGATCCTGTCATTTCATCAGGGTATTCGTGTTCAATGTCATACATTTTTAAACATTTAAAATATTGACAGTAGCGGGTGACCTCGCCTAGGTGAACACTACTAAACTGACTATCGTTCATTTCCCGATGAACGTCAGTATATCACGTGATTACGTTGTCAATCGAGCGGAGACATACAGAACCTTACGGGAATTCCTCAATGTCTACAAATAACATCAAACATCATTAGGGATTATCATACCCATGAAGATCCAGTGTAGAATAGGTCTTCATCAACCCATGCTTGTCGTAAAAGGCGACTATGCTTGTCGTGAGAAGGGAATAACGGGATCGGGTGGTCAGGCTCGCTGACTTGGTTGATGCATGTCATCGTATCCCAATTTCGATGATCGATGCTCATGATATCAATCACTGGATTATCTGGTCCAGACTCGATTATTTAGAGACCGCCATCATATAGCTGGAATTAAAAAAAACAAATTAAAAACAATTAAAACCCAATGTTTCAAGGTGCAGCATATCATATATCAGTAAATATGACTTAATCTCAATGAAATGCAACAGTTACCAAAGCAATTAATTAAACGACTTTGAACGTCTACATATACGACTAGCGTTTTCAATAGAGTAAGGAGAAGTAATTTCTTTTCCCAGATGGCAGATCCCATGAAGCTGTGGGTATTACAGATCCATGACGAAGGTGTGGGCGTTTATCATTATGACAGCACAAGGGAGACACCTTTGTCCAAGATAAGAGACGTTTCGGGCACTGAAAATATTTATGCAGACACGACAAACAACCGAGTCTACTTCCTTCGTTCTTCACCTTTCGTCCACGCGCTGTATTCCATCCATAAGGATGAGGATGAGGAGTACCTGATGTCATTCAGGACAGAAATTACAGGTAGATGGATTTCAAATCTTACTTAAAATTCTACTTTGTTGTTTTCATCATGCTGTTAATACTAATCGAGTCTTGACTACACTATCCAGTGATTGATACTATCGGCAATGATCCACGTCATATGGGTACGATGACACATTGTCAACTGATCCACGCTATAGGGGTGCGATGACACAGTGTCAACGAAGTCACCGAGCGTGACCACCCGCGTCGATTCATCTGGTCACCTCTTGGTCCAGCATAGATTGCTGGGGACCTACTCTGACCCGCAACCCCCAAACCATGCACATTCCAAGTGAGAAAGTATAATACAGTGAGACATTGTTATACCAAAACCGTTTAATTTTAAGCAACATTACACATTCGTTTGACCAGCAACATCATCCTGAGGCAAGGGAGTTCACTGGCTGTAAAAGTCCAGTTTCTAGTCTTGCCGAACTAGGCTGGAACTTATGTGCACGATCGTAGCGCCACCAGTGGCTATGTCGAGTAATGTCCCTTTTATGTCCCCCTACTGACCAATCAGATGCCACCTCTCAGATTACTTACATTCGCTTCAAACAAAATGGCGGCGCCTAGTCAAGACGATCTGATTGGTAATCAAGATCTGTATGTAACAAAGAGGGTGTTACCTCGCGAAGTGCATCCATTTGCTTGAGCACCTTGATTAAAAACATGCTGAGTTTACGGTGCGCATGCGCTGCAAATCTTGCATTTAATCGAAATCTGCACGGCAGTCGCCATGTTGTTTATAAATCGAATGTTGGTCTCGTTTTGTGTTTTGACCATCATTTTACTGTAT